ATCCCACTGTAGGGAATCACTGCATACAGAAGAGCTGGCAAGGAAACTATACATATGGTCAACACAGAAAAACTATTTATATAACAAAAACAACCCAAACTAGCTCTCTTCAAGGCTCCCCTACAATTGAATTCTTACAGCTGCTGAGTTGTACCCCCCAAAAAATAAAACAGTGAAATGCCATTAAAAAACCCAAGGGCACACTTATTTTTAGACATAGTTTGTGTTGTCTATTTACTGACACCCAAGGCAATTATCTTTACAAAGCTAGATTTAAAAGAAAATAATTTGCCTTTAAGTTAGTGTGTTTTAAAATATTTCAATTTTTTCTTCTGATTTAGCTGAAGATCACAAACTGCCCTCCCCCCACTTTCTCTCTTTCTAGAGAGACGTCCCTATGGCTGTTGGCTTTTTTGGGTCTGTGGCAAAACATTGTAGCACCTTCAGAACCTTAAATAGTTTAAAATCATATATAAAACAACACACTTTTTTTTTTTAAGTAGCACCAGAGATTTCACAGTGAGAGGTAGAAACAAACCAGACGAGCCCATCCTCTCTCTCTATTTTAGCACCAATCTCTTCCCCCCTACCACTTCTGTTTTCCGCTTTGGGACTCTTTCCCCACCCTATCATCACACATGAGAAGGGACATTTATTAGACTCGCTCACAGGAGGAGGAAATTAATTTTTTTTTTGCTTAAATAAAATATATATCTATATATTTGTTTCTCTTCTAATATTGCACATCAAATGCTTCCTGTACACAGAGCAGCCAGATTCAACTTGCAAATCCACTTATGAGAACTTCATCTCTCTCTCTTATTCAGCGGTGAGCTGTCCAGAAGATGATGAGCTCTTAAAGGGAGGCTCTAATTTTATGGAAAGAACATTTGGTAACTCAGGAACTGGGTAGGACAAAGATATGCACTGTAGGTTTCTTCTTGAGATCTCTCTCTCTTTGGTTGTGGAAAAAGCTTTGTATGTGGAATTGCTTGTGACATCTGGCCTTCAAGTTCCTGATCCCCCTTCACTGTTTATGTCTTGGCTGATGTCAGCATCCCCCCAAATTTCTTTCAAGACTATGCTGGAGAATCTGCTGAGTTCAGGAGATCGAGGTTCTTTAAGACTTTGAGCTCTATGGCCAGAGCAACAGTTGACCCAAATGACGAGGCCCAGCCATCTGTGCTGAAGAGGGACGGGGATCCTACTTAAACATGTAGGCCCACCCAAAAGGGGTCAAAACCTTGGAGCACTGTAGAGGTCACAGTTCAAAGGAAGCACACGGGTCCAACCTCGAGGTGATACTGTTTCCCTGGCTCGGATGGTGGAAGGTTGTAGATGTTGATAATTGGCAGCTGGTTAGGGTCCTGTGTCCGAAACGTAAGGACAGTCTTGTGCCAGTGTCCATCCTGAATCTAAACCAAGAGGGAGAGAAAATGGGAAGTGGTGAATTAGCTGAGTTGGTAGATCCCTCGGGGGAAGAATAATTTCCATCAAGATATGGCTGAAAAGCCCTATCTACTGAGACAGGTAAGTTGCCATAACTATGAACTGGTGATAAAATGAGGCACCAGGGGTTGGGGAAGTGGAAGCAATGTGATCTAGTGTGTAGAAGCTGTGAGTGCTCAGCATCACTGAAAATGAAACCTCTAAGCTGGGCACCTACAATTAGAGGTCACCCTTCAAAGTGTGGATTTGAATGACTGCCACTGACTTAGTGTGACCCTGGGCAAGGGTTGGGAATAGGAGACAGATCTCTTGACTCTATACACTAGATCACACTGCCTCCAAGCAGAAAACTCCTCTAAATAAAAAGGGTAGTCAAATGTGTTCTCTATTTTAAGCGTTTCTATAGTACTTATTACTGCAGGATGTAAGTGCTGCCCAGGTTAACTAGATCTGTATGCAAATTGCTCATAGTGGAGTTCATAGAGACTAATGCTCTTCCAGCACTATTCTCTTGTCTTTGGTCATGGTGGGGAAGTACTGACAAATAAGTGGATCTTGCAGCATGGTCTAAGGGTCTTTAGACTTTGGCTAAATTTAATGTCTTCTGGTTTCTTATGTCCCCGTGAAGCCCCCTTGACTGGGCATGCTGCATCTCCAGTTCTCCCACTTTCTCTGACGTCAGTTTGGTTGTTTTTTTTTTTTTTAGCTGCTTTGTTGGCCACGTTGTAGGGGCTCTGTACCTTGCAATCATCTGTTGCCACCTTGGGCTTGAATGGCCCTTCTGCCTCAAATATCTGTCCATTCCAGGCCTTAAAACGCACAGCTTTTTCTGAAGGCTTCTCAGTTGACCCTTCCCTCCACACTGACATGTTCAAGCAGTGGATGGTGATGTGCTGAACCACCTCCGAGCTCAGTAGGTGAAGGAAGTTCATCTGGACTCTACCAATGTTGAATTCCAGCTGTTAAGGTGACAGAGATAATATGAAAACTAAGACATCCCATCCCAAAGCCAGTGAGTAAGGTACACCCAGTAGGCTTAGAGTGGTGCAGTTAGTGCAAGCAGCAGCAAAGATATTTAGTGTATTAATGTACATTACAGCTGTCCCCATGGGCATAAGATGACTTCCCCCCACCCCCCTTTGGGGAGGCTAGCCATTGGGTGCACCCCCTGTGCCTGACAGGAGT